CGGCCACTTTAAGACATGGCGTTAATTCCCAGAATTCCCAGCCAGCATGTGGTTGGGGAACCTATGAGCTTCCCTACTTATGTGGTCACTATTTGATGGCATATAATCAATCAATAAAGGAACTTTCCTTCCTTCCTTCCTTCCTTCCTTCCTTCCTTCCTTCCTTCCTTCCTTCCTTCCTTCCTTCCTTCCTTCCTTTCTCGGGCAACCATTTGTCTGAAATGGTATAGGGTTTTCTACTTGAACAGCAAGTTGAACTACAAGACCCCCAAGGTCCCTTTCTATTCTATTCTGTTCTGTTCAATTCCATTCCATTCTATTCTATTCTATTCTATTCTAAGCTTTTTTTCTTTCCTTCCTTCCTTCCTTCCTTCCTTCCTTCCTTCCTTCCTTCCTTCCTTCCTTCCTTCCTTCCTATCTACTGTATCTATCTATCTATCTATCTATCTATCTATCTATCTATCTATCTATCTATCTATCTATCTATCACTATGTTTCTACCTACCTCTGTCTGTTAGTCTATCTTGTCTGTCTGTCTGTCTGTCTGTCTATCTATCTATCTATCTATCTATCTTCTATAGCTATCTACCTATCACTATGTTTCTACCTATGTATCTACTTATCATCTTTATCTATCTGTCTTGTCTCTCTTGTCTGTCTGTCTTTCTGTCTGTCTATCTATCATCTATAGCTATCTACCTATCACTATGTTTCTATCTACCTACCTCTGTCTGTCTGTCTATCTATCTATCTATCTATCTATCTATCTATCTATCTATCACTATCTACCTATCTATCACCAAGTTTCTATCTACCTACCTCCTGTCTGTCTATCTGTCTGTCTATCCTGGCCAGGTATCCATCCATCCATCCATCCTCCAAGAACTGACACCAAGTTGATGGTGCATAATCAATTAACCAATCGCTAAGATTTTCTAGGCCTGCTTGTACTTTTGTCAAGAATTACTTATTTTTCATTTCTTTTCTTACCTCCCCTGCTTTTAGAAAACAAAGAAAAAGTACAAAAATGTATTTTTAAATATTGCTGTCTTATAAAACTTTTGTATGTGTCAAACTCCAATGGATTTTTTTTTCCCCTCCTCCTGAGAAGAAGGAACACTGTCGCTCTAAGAACTCTTGAGATGGAATCTGTCATCTTTCAGACACAAAATACAGAGAGAGTTGTGACATTTTTGTCAATCTCCCAGTTTTTTTTTTCCTCCTTTGAAGATGGAGAGAAACACATATACTGCATTCCTTTTTTGCAGCTGAAACTGTTGCTAAGTTCTGAAAAATAAGTTATGAGGTTCTTGATGAGATGGCTTCCTTTACTTGATCAAGAGAAGTACCTAGCTTGACTTTTGCAGGTTTTGGATTATATGGATGGCAAAATTACCCTTTCTCTGAATAGGTGACCTTTTGTGACCTTCTGATAAGCAAAGTCAATGGGGAAACCAGATTGACTTTACAACCGTGTTACTAGCTTAACAACTGTAATAATTCACTTAACAACTGTGGTAAGGAAAGATCATAAAATGGGGCAAAACTCGCTTAACAACTGTCCTGCTTAGCAAAGGAAATTTTGGGCTCAATTGTAGTTTTAAGTCAAGGACTACCTGCACAAATGGTTAGCCTAGATCAGGGATAGGCAACCTTGGCTCTTTTATGACTCGTGGACTTCAACTCCCAGAATTCCTGAGCCAGCCACGCTGAGGGAAAAGGGAGAGGTTTCCATGCTGAGCCATGCTGGCTCAGGAATTCTGGGAGTTGAAATCCACAAGTCATAAAAGAGCCAAGGTTGCCTACCCCAGGCCTAAATATTTGAGAAGAAATTATTTATGTTTTGCTTGCATGATAGCAGAGTTCTTATATCTAAGAGCTTCCATAAAGAGGAGAGGGTCAAACTATCCTCCAAAGCACCTGAAAACAGGACAAAAAAGATGGATGGAAAATAATCAAGGAGAGAAGCAACCTAGAACTAAGGAGAAATTTCCTGAAAATAATTAATCAGTGCAACAGCTTGCCTTCCGCAGTTGTGAATGCACCATCACTGGAGATTTTTAAGAAGAGATTGGATAACCATTTGTATGAAATGTTGCAGGGTTTCCTGCTTGAGCAGGGGGTTGGAATAGAAGACCTCCAAGATCCCTTTCAATTCTTTTTTTTCTGTTCTGTTATTCTGCTTCTGTAACTGCTGAACAAGATTAGAAAGCAATCAAGATGTCATGAAGAATAAACACCTTCAAGGATGGCCAACTAGGATGTAAGGTCAGCTTTTTTTTTTCTTTAAAATTTTCACTAGATCACTTTCAGAAAAGGTGGTTTGGCAATATAGAGTCTCCCATCATGATGTGTGCAAGACCCATTTATGTGATGTCTGCAAGGCCTATGCCTTTATTAAACATTTTTAATAAATCCCTCAGAAATGCCTGCAATTTCTGAGATTGCCAAATCCCATCAGATTTGAGGCCTGCTTCAATCTAAAACTCAAGATTTGGGATGAAAGAATCAAACTGGTGACACCTGAGTCATTTTAAAACATTTTGTTCTTCTAATTTTTTTTCTTGATGCCTGTAGACCCATACTGATGTCTCTATGAAATCTTCAGTAGTCTTACCTTGACAGACTTGAACACTGGGCGCTATCTAACAAAATGAAATTCAGTGCTGAAAAAAGTAAGGTTCTACATTTAGGCAAGAAAAACCAAATGTACAGGTACAGTATAGGGGGTACCTTGCTCAATAGTAGTAACTGTGAGAGGGATCTCGGAGTCCTAGTGGACAATCACTTAAATATGAGCCAGCCGTGTGCTGCAGCTGCCAAAAAAGCCAACTCAGTGCTGGGCTGCATTAACAGAAGGAAACAATCAAGATTACGTTAAGTGTTAATACCACTTTACAATGCTTTGGTAAGACCACACTTGGAATACTGCATCCAGTTTTGGTCACGATGTGAAAAAGATGTTGAGACTCAAGAAAGAGTACAGAGAAGAGCAACAAAGATGATCAGGGGACTGGAGGCTAAAACATATAAGGAACGGTTGTTGGAATTGGGTATGTCTAGTTTAACAAAGAGAAGGACGAGGGGGGACGTGATAGCAGTGTTCCAGTATCTCAGGGGCTGCCACAAAGAAGAGGGAGCCAAGCTATTCTCCAAAGCACCTGAAGGCAGGACAAGAAGCAACGGATGGAAACTAATCAAGGAGAGAAGCAACCTAGAACTAAGGAGAAACTTCCTGACAGTGAGAACAATTAATCAGTGGAACAGCCTGCCTCCAGAAGCTGTGAATGCTCCAACACTGGAAGTTTTTAAGAAGAGACTGGACAGCCATCTGTCTGAAATGGTATAGGGTTTCCTGCCTGAGCAGAGGGTTGGATTAGATGACCTCCAAGATCCCTTCCTATTTATTATTATTATTGTTGTTGTTGTTGTTGTTGTTGTTATTATCTTGAACTGAAATTAACTTTACTTACTCGTTCTAAAAGAAGCCAAACTAAGTATGTGATAAAGCATGAGACTCTGGCATCAACTTTTATTTTCAAGAATGCTTCCTAGCTCCAGGACATTCTTAGAACTTGTTATAGGAAGCATCCCAGGAGAATATTGGAGAGTGGAAACATTCCCCAATTTTTCCTTTGATAAACAAGCATTGTGAATCTGGGTACTTGTGAATCTGGCAGTGTTTTGTAATGGATCCCGTGAGACAATCTCAGAATTACCCTTGTGGTCAAAAGATTTCTCCATCCCATTTTCTTCAACAATATTTTATTGCCTGGTATAAAAATTCCCTATTCAGATAAAATATATTTATTTATGTATGGCTGAGATATAGAAGCTCACAACTCCAAAATTATTCTGGGCAGTTTACAGCAACCCAGGTCAAAGCAGGAAAGAATAAAATCACAAGAAAATGTTGTGCATCTGAAGAACCCACACTAACCAAAAGCTATAGCCCTGGTGGCGAACCTAGGGCACACGGGCCACAGGTGGCACGCAGAGCCCTCTCTGTGGGCACGCGTGCCATCACCCCAGTCCTAGGCCTCCGCCACCATGTGCAAAAAAAAAAAGGTTCAATCAATCAATTTCAACTTTTCGCGAGGAAAAAAAGGTCTCACAAAGGTGGAATTGCTTGATTGAACTTTATTTTCAGTCCCACACAGTAGCGGAGGATTTACGCGTCAGAGCTGGAAAAAAGGTGCCGTGTGGGGATGGGGGGAGCGGCAGGAGCAGGGCACTCCATGCGACGGGTGGGGCAGGGCCTGTTGCCTCCCTCCCCTTGCCAGACACCTGCCGAAGCCGTGCAGGGTAAGGTTGCTGGGCCTGCCTCCGCCCAGATCAGTGGTTCTCAACCTGTGGGTCGGGACCCCATTTGGGGTCAAACGACCATTTCACGGGGGTCACCAAACAACGCAGTCCGCCATTTTTTTCCCTTTTCCCTAGCTGTCCTACTCCCTCTTATTGGTGGCCACACCCACTTGGGGGTCACCACAACATGGGGAACTGTTTTATGGGGTCACGGCATTAGAAAGGTTGAGAACCACTGGCCCAGATGCCCTCGCCTCCCCCAAGCATTTTTTTACTTACCTGCCTTTCAGCTGCATTATACATTTCTCTATTCGCTTCTCAGCCTTCACCACGTGTTTGTGGGACAAAAAAAAAAAAAAGTTCCATGAGATTTTCTAACTTCTCGCAAGATCTCGTGAGAAGTTAGAAAGTCTGATGGAACTTTTTTTTTTTTTACCGATAGTCCCACAAACACCTGGCGAAGGCTGAGAAGCAAACGGAGAAACAGAATGCAGCTGAAAGGGAGGTTAGAAAAAAAAAACGCTTGGGGAAGACAAAAGCACCAGGGCGGGGGCAGCAACCCTATCCTGCATGATGGCAGGAGGGATAACAGCGGGCAAAGGGGGCCCAGGAGGAGCTGTGCAAAGCAGGTGGAGGGGAGTCCGGGCAGATTGCAGGCGCCAGCAGCAGCAGCGGCACGGAGGCCAATCGCAGGCATGATGGGACAGCTGTGCAGGGCAGAGGTGCTGCCCCGGCCTGGAGGAGAGGCGGATTGTGGGCGCCAGTGGCAGCAGCAGCGCGGAGGCCGATCACAGGTGTGATGGGACAGCCGCGCAGGGCAGAGGCCCTTCCCGGGGCTGGAGTGGAGCCGGCAACGAAGTCCCGCCCAGCTCCGCTCCGTTCCAGCCCCAGGCAGTACATCTGCCCTGCGCAGCTGTCCTGCTCACACCTGCAATCGGCCTCCGCACCACCGCCACCTCTGTAGAAATCGCACAATAAAAACATTGATAGAGATCTCTTCCATTCTCAGGAACTAAAGGCCACTTTCTTCCCTTGAGCTCAGCATGGTCATCTCCTACAGTCATTGAATATTTGAACAGTCACTAAACAAATGATTGTAAGTTGAGGACCACCTATGATAGCAATTTTACTGGAAAGAATGGATCCCACCAGTGCCTAAATCTCTAATCTCTTCTCTCCCCTTTAGATGCTAACAAGATTTCTCTATTTTTTTTTCCTCTCTTCCTTTCTGATCCAGGTCAACGTCTTCATCTCCTTCGTTTTCCCAATGGCCATTATCTCCATCCTCAACACCATCATAGCCAACCAACTTATCATCATGTTTAAGCAAGCGGCCCAAGAAAACCAAGTGTGCACCATTGGAGGACAGCAAACCATGCTTAGCATGTCCATGGAACCTGGGCGCGTTCAGACCTTGAAGCACGGGGTTCGAGTTCTACGTATGTACCCCTCTGATTGGAGGCCACCTTCCTGTATCTGATATTCAATTTATGCGTACAGCTTGAGGTCTGGCCCCTGTGGCCTGGAAATGATGCATTGTTTCTTCCAGAAAAGAAACTTCCAATACTCCCAAACTACCTGGGAGGTTTTTGAACTGGTTGGGTTAGTAATAATAATAATAGTAGTAGTAGTAGTAGTAGTAGTAGTAGTAGTAGTAGCAGTAGTAGTAGTAGTAGTAATGTTGGAAGGGACTTTGGAGGTCATCTAGTCCAACCCCCCTGCTCAGTCAGGAAATCCTATACCATTTCAGACAAATGGCTGTCCAATCTCTTCTTAAAAACTTCCAGTGTTGGAGCATTCACAACTTCTGGAGGCAGGTTGTTCCACTGATTAATGGTCAGTGGTTGAATCCAAGTAGTTCTTGATGTCTGATTGTGGCAATCCATAATGCCCAGTGGTGCACTTCCTGCTCAAGAGGTCATCCTTGGATCCAACCGGGTCACTACAATATAAAAAAGATGTTGAAAGAGCAACAAAGATGATAAAGAGTCTGGAAAGTGTATTATTGTTGTTGTTGTTGTTGTTGTTATTTAGCGTATCTAAATGGCATCTACAGAGGTCATGCAATCACTGATATACAAATATAAGTTTAAATAAAGCATGTGTGTGTGTGTGTGTGTGTGTGTGTGTATAATACATATATATCAAATATAAGTATATATATATCAATATAATTATATTTGTATATCAGTGATTGCATGACCTCTGCAGATGCCATGTAGATATGCATAATAGTAATAATAATAATAATAATAATAATAATAATAATAATAATAATACCCAAATACTTGGGTATCCTTCAGGCTGACAACATCAAGCACACTGAAGTCAAGAAAAAGATTAGAGGTGAATACATCAAGAGAGTGAAGAAGATCTTAAAGTCCAAACTCAATGGAGGAAATACCATAAAGGCAATCAATACCTGGGCAATTCCAGTCATTAGATACACAGCTGGAATAATGGACTGGACTCAAGCAGAACTAAAAGCAATGGACAGGAAGACTAGAAAAATAATGACAATGAATCATGCCCTTCATCCATGCAGTGACATTGACAGACTTTATCTACCAAGGCAAATAGGTGGGCGTGGAATGCTACAAGTACATCAGATGGTTGAAGAAGAAAAAATGGCTTTGGAAGAATATCTGAAGAACAATGATGAAGATGCACTGAAATTAGTATATCAGGAAGGCTTACTGACTACTGGAGAGACCAAACTGGCCTACAAGAAAGACCAAATGAAGAACAGAATAGAGGCATGGGAAGACAAAGCACTACATGGCCAATACATGAAAAAAATAGCTGGGAAAGCAGATAATAATAAACCTGGCAATGGCTAAGAGCAGGAAAATTGAAGAAAGAGACCAAGGGACTAATTCTGGCTGCACAAGACCAAGCCTTAAGGACAAATGCATACAAAGTCAAAATTGAGAAGACAGCAACAGACAGTAAGTGCCGCCTATGCAAAGAAGCTGAAGAAACAGTGGACCACTTGGTAAGCTGTTGCAAGAAGATTGCACAAACTGATTACAAGCAGCGGCATGACAAAGTAGCAACCATGGTGCATTGGAAGATCTGCAAAAAATATCATTTGCCTGTAAGCAAAAACTGATGGGATCATAAAATAGAGAAAGTCATAGAAAATGATAAAATTGAACTGCTCTGGGACTTCAGAATTCAAACAGACAAGCACCTGCAACATAACACCCCAGATTTAACAATTGTCGATAAGAAAGACAAAAAAGTCTGGATAGTGGGCATGGCAGTGCCCGGAGACAGCAGAATAGACGAGAAAGAACTGGAGAAGATAACAAAATACAAAGACCTACAAATAGAAATAGACAGACTGTGGCAAAAGCAAGCAAGGATAGTACCAATAGTAATAGGCTCCTTGGGTGCAATCCCAAAACCACTGGAGCACCACTTGAACACCATTGGCATTGACAAATTCGCTATTAGTCAATTGCAAAAGGCGGCCTTACTAGGAACTGCTTCCATCCTGCGACGATATCTGTAATACCATCAAACATCCACATCTGCCTATCCTAGGTCCTGGGTAAGGACTCGATAGGTAGACAAAATGCCAAATCCAGTCTGAGCATCTGGCTGACTGTGCGATGATCAATAATAATAATAATAATAATAATAATAATAATAATAAAAAAGAGGTGGATGCAAATAAAACAGAAGTTGAAATGAAAGAACTAGTAATAACAACAAAAATGGTAGAAAAAAGAGCAAAAAAAATCAAAAATTGGTCAGCACCAGGTGAAGATGAACTGCATGGGTTTTGGTTGAAACATCTAACTGTTATACACCCACTCATTGCCAAACAATTCAACCATATACTACAAGGAGGAGAAATTGAAAAGTGGCTAACAACTGGGAAAACCTACCTAATAATGAAAAATCCAGCAAAAGGGGCAACACAGGTAACTACAGGCCAATTACCTGCTTACCAACAACTTTCAAATTACTAACTGGTGTGGTAGCTGATGCAGTACAACAGCATCTAGTTGAAAACAATCTCTTTCCACTTGAGCAGAAAGGAAACCACTCCAATAGCAGAGGAACAAAAGATCAACTCCTAATAGACAAAATGATCTTGGAAAACTGCAAGAAAAGGAAGACCAACCTGAATGTGGCATGGATTGACTACAAAAAGGCATTTGACTCTCTGCCACATGACTGGATAATCAAGTGCCTAGAAATAACAGGAGTCAGTAGAAACATCAGAAAATTTGTGCAAAGATCGATGGCACAATGGAAGACACAGTTGAAGATCAATGGTGAGAGGCTGGGAGAGGTTAATATCAAGAGAGGAATATTTCAAGGAGATTCATTATCACCATTACTATTTGTTATTGCACTGTTTCCTCTGTCAACAATACTGAATAACTCAGGACATGGCTATCAAACATCAAAAACATCTGCCAGACTATTCCACCTCCTTTACATGGATGATATGAAGCTGTATGGAAAAACATCATCTGAAATAGAATCGCTGCTCAACACTGTCCTTATATATAGCCAAGATATTGTAATGGAGTTTGGCTTGGACAAATGTGCCACACTTACTATCAAACAAGGAAAAATAATGAAAACTGAAGGAATCAAGATGCCCCACGAAAATAACATTAAGAGTCTGGATGAGGAAGAGTACTACAAATACTTGGGTATCCTTCAAGGTGACAACATCAAGCACACTGAAGTCAAGAAAAAGATTAGAGGTGAATACATCAAGAGAGTGAAGAAGATCTTAAAATCCAAACTCAATGGAGGAAATACCATAAAGGCAATCAACACCTGGGCAATCCCAGTCATTAGTTACACAGATGGAATAGTGGACTGGACTCAAGCAGAACTAAAAGCAATGGATAGGCAGACCAGAAAAATAATGACAATGAATCATGCCCTTCATCCACGCAGTGACATTGATAGACTTTATCTACCAAGGCAAATAGATGGGCGTGGAATGATACAAGTACATCAGATGGTTGAAGAAGAAAAAATGGCTTTGGAAGAATATCTGAAGAACAATGATGAAGATGCACTGAAATTAGTATATCAGGAAGTCTTACTAACTACTGGAGAGAACAAACTGGCCTACAAGAAAGACCAAATGAAGAACAGAATAGAGGCATGGGAAGACAAAGCACTACATGGCCAATACATGAAAAAAATAGATGGGAAAGCAGATAACAATAAAACCTGGCAATGGCTAAGAGCAGGAAAATTGAAGAAAGAGACCGAGGGACTAATTCTGGCTGCACAAGACCAAGCCTTAAGGACAAATGCATACAAAGTCAAAAGTGAGAAGACAGCAATAGACAGTAAGTGCCGCCTATGCAAAGAAGCTGAAGAAACAGTGGACCACTTGGTAAGCTGTTGCAAGAAGATTGCACAGACTGACTACAAGCAGCGGCATGACAAAGTAGCAACAATGGTGCAGTGGAAGATCTGCAAAAAATATCACTTGCCTGTAAGCAAAAACTGGTGGGATCATAAAATAGAGAAAGTCATAGAAAATGATAAAATTAAACTGCTCTGGGACTTCAGAATTCAAACAGACAAGCACCTGCAACATAACACCCCAGACTTACCAATTGTCGATAAGAAAGACAAAAAAGTCTGGATAGTGGATGTGGCAGTGCATGGAGACAGCAGAATAGAAGAGAAAGAACTGGAGAAGATAACAAAATACAAAGACCTACAAATAGAAATAGAAAGACTGTGGCAAAAGCAAGCAAGGGTAGTAACAATAGTAATAGGCTCCTTGGGTGCAATCCCAAAACAACTGGAGCACCACTTGAACACCATTGGCATTGACAAATTTGCTATTAGTCAATTGCAAAAGGCGGCCTTATTAGGAACTGCTTCCATCCTGCGACGATACCTGTAATACCATCAAACATCCACATCTGCCTATCCAGGTCCTGGGTAAGGACTCGATAGGTAGACAAAATGCCAAATCCAGTCTGAACATCTGGCTGACTGTGCGATGATCCATAATAATAATAATAATAATAGTCATACCTTTTTTAAAATCCAAGCAATGATCAAATGGTTAAGATTTTATATATATATTCACCATTTCAGCATTGCATGGATTAATATATATATTATTACACACACTTTCTAAGCAAATAAATACATCATAAAATTCAAAGAGATACAAAATTCATTAAAAAAATGGAATCCAGACACGTATTAATTTATTAATGAAATTATGTTAAGATGCCTAAAAGAAAAGTCAGTAATGTAATTTTCAGTCATGCCTGCATAATATTGTTGAAATAATGTATCCAAGGACACAGAATCCTTGCTCTCCTTTGATCTCTCACTCTTTCTTTATCGGCAAATTCATTTAAGATACAACCAATGGCACAGTTTCCCCTGATTACAAAGTGTTAAGAGCAAGGATTGCATAGAATATTACAAATTAACATAAAGACACTGCTAATTGATTACTCATTTACTGAGACCTGGATATTTGGATAGATGAGTGAATAAAATATAAGATTGTGCCTAATAATACAGTATCAGCGACCCTAAATAAGCAGAAAAAAAGCCTCTTCCAGATCATCCAGTTCTGTCTTCTAAAGAGGCGAAATGTGAAAGACATAATAACAAATGCAAAACCAAGATTAGGTTGAATAACGTCATTTCATCATGTCTCCATCCTGATCCAACCTTTAAACAATTGTTACGAAATTTTAGTCTGTTTCACAGAGAATTAATTATTGCTTTTTTCTCTTACGGAAAATCATAATCAATGTTGGAATTATATCTTTTTAAATTCATTTATTTATTTATTACATTGATTTGCCGTTTATCTCACTGCAAGGAGACTCTTTTTATATAATATAAAAACTTTTTAATTTTGTGCTGAATTGTCTGTACAGTTCTGTATAGACAGATGGGGAACTCATCAAATTTGCAGATGACATCAAGCTGGCAGGAATAGCCAACACTCCAGAAGATAGGCTTAAGATACAGGAGGATCTGGACAGACTTTCACATTGGGCGCAATCTAACAAAATGAAATGAAATGTTGGAAAAAGTAAGGTTCTCAGGAAAGAAAAAATAAATGCACAGCTATAATATAGGGTGGTACCTGACTCAAAAGTAGAAATTGTGAGAGGGATCTTGGAGTCCTAGTGGACAATCATTTAAATAGGAGCCAGCAGTCGCCCAAAAAGCTAACGCAGTTCTAGGTTGCATTAACAGAGGGATAGAATCAAGATCACGTGAAATGTTAATACCACTTTACAATGCCTTAGTAAGGCCATACTTGGAATACTGCATCCAGTTTTGGTTGCCACGATATAGAAAGGATGTTGAGACTCTAGAAAGAGTGCAGAGAAAAGAAAGAGGGGACTGGAGAAGGAGGATAAAACCTACAAAGAACGGTTCCAGGAATTGGGCATGTCTAGTTTAATGAAAAGAACTAAGGGTGACATGAGAGCAGTCTTCCAATATCTCAGGAGTTGCTACAAAGAAGAGGGAGTCAAGCCATTCTCCAAAGCACCTGAAGGCAGGAGAGTGATCAAAAAGAGAAGCAATAGGAGAGGAAAGAGAAAAGAGTAAAGGAGGAGAGAAGGAAGTAGGAAGGTTGGAGGAGAAGAGGAGAAGTAGGGAGAAAGGGGAGGAGAGTGGTGAAGGAAAGAGAAGAGGAGAGGAAGAAGAGGGAAGTAGAGAAGAGAAGAAAGGGAGAAAGAAGGTAGAGAAGAAGGAGTGTGGATACAGTGAAAGGGGAAATGGGCGAGCAACACCAAAAGTCATGTGTATGTATTTATTTTATTTTATTAAAAGTATCTTATATATGAATGTTAAAAGAATGTAAGTTAACATCTGATAAATATCATGGCATATGTATGGGGGAGAGTTTGGAAAAATAAAAAAATATTTTAAAAAGAGAGAGAGAAGCAACCTGGAATTAAGAAGAAACTTTCTGACAGTGAGGACAATTAACCAGTGGAACAGCTTGCCTCCAGAAATCGTGGGCGCTCCATCACTGGAGGTTTTTAAGAAGAGACTAGACAATCACCTGTCTCAGATGGCATAGGTTCTCCTGCTTAAGCAGGGGGCTGGACTAGAAGACCTCCAAGGTCCCTTCCAGCTCTATTCTATTCTAATCAAGGAGAGAAACAACCTAAAACTAAGGAGAAATTTCCTGACAGCTAGAACAATCCATCAGTGGAATGTCTTACCTCCCAAAATTGTGGGTGCTCCAACACTGGAAGTTTTTTAAGAAGAGATTGGATGACCGTTTTTCTGAAATGGTATACGGTTTCCTACTTGAGCAAGAGGTTGGGCTAGAAGATCTCCAGGGTCCCTTCCAACTATGTTCTGATAACTTTTCTGTTTCTCTTGAAACCAGTTTGCATGCAGGAATCAAACACAGATCTAAACACTAAACCTCTATTATGCAGGGCTACAGGTAGGTCCTCAACTTACAACTGGCTGCTTAGCCAGCAAAGTTACAACAGCCCCAAGAAAGGGGACATGACTCAGATTTGGAACCCCTCTGTGATTACATGATCAAATTTTGGGCACTCAGCAACTTGACTACATTTTCAGCTGGTTGCAGCATTCTGCAATCATGTGGCTGCATTTTACAATGATTTTACCCCAAACCGGCACTTACTTTCAGTTTTTGTCAAAACTGAGTTCTTAACGAACCATTGCTTCATTTAACGACCACCATGTTCACTTAACAACCACCATAAAAGTGTCATAGACTTTTATGACCATCATGACATACAACCATAATGGGCAGGCTCCTTAATGGTCAGATGTCATGGACTACTTCCGGGGGTAGGCAACTTTGCTCTTTTATCACTCGTGGACTTCAACTCCCAGAATTTCTGAGCCAGCCATGCTGAGGGGAAAGGGAGAGGTTACCATGCTGAGCCATGCTGGCTCAGGAATTCTGGGAGCTGAAGTCCACAAGTCATAAAAGAGACAAGGCTGCCTATCCCTGGACTAGTTGTACCGTCTTGACCACCAGAGGGGAGCAGAGAGTTAGATGTTTATATCTCTTTGCTGCCAATGAGTGGCCATCTCAAGAACTACAGCCCAGGTTTGTAACCCTTAATGAAGTCATTTGAACATGACCCAAAAGTCATTCTCTTTTAAAATCTGACTTTGATTGAAATGCAATGTTGACAATGTCCCTGAGCAAAAGAGGGAAAAAAAGCTGGCTAAAATTCAAATGGAGAGATGGGTTTTTTTCACGGCAATGTGCCATTTGGAGTTCCATAATTGAAATCAGGAGCTGCAATTCTGACAGGTTTCACACTTCGGTAGAGAAACAAATCACCAGCTTGCATTCCAAGTGGTGGAATAAGAGGTTAGTGCCAAATACCAACAATTCTTGCCAAAAGCGTTACCATTGGCAGCATCTGATAAAGAACTGAACAGAGACTGAATAGAGTCAGATCAGAGTCTGACATGGATAGGAATCAACCAGCGAATCCTAGGATTCTGGACTAGATGGGGAAGTTGAAAGCAAACAGACAAATATCAGAGGTAGTGGTAAATTACAGGGCTAAAATATCATCCCTATAATGATTATACAGTCCTCAACTTATGACCATTTATTTAGCGACTGTTCGAAGTTACAAGAATCCTGAAAAAGAGACGACTGCTCCTTGCACTTAGAACCACTGCAGCATCCCTGTTGGACTAGAAGACCTCCAAGGTCCCTTCCAGCTTCTATTCTATTCTATTCTATTCTATTCTATTCTATTCTATTCTATTCTATTCTATTCTATTCTATTCTACAATCTGTTTATTCTATTCTATTCTATTCTATAATTATTCTATTCTATTCTATTCTACAATCTGTTTATTCTATTCTATTCTACAATCTGTTTATTCTATTCTATTCTATAATGTTTATTCTATTCTATTCTATTCTATTCTAATTACGTAGACTGTGTATATATGTTTACTTCTCTTCCATCATGTTCTCCTCATATGCTAAATAAATAGTCTCTGCTTGAGCCCCCAAGCAGTCTGATCCATTGCAGAAATAATTCAAATGCCTCACTGCCTTGACAGGAGACCATTACTCCAGACATAGGGACAATTTAAAAGATTAGCAATGCATTGTTCACCCCTTGAAAATAAAATTTCAGCTGCATTTCACAACAGAGCCTTCAGAGTGTCTTCTGATTGTGTTCCTCTTTCTCCTTGGCATGGATTGCTTCTCTCCTTCATTAGTTTCCATCCGTTGCTTCTTGTCCTGCCTTCAGGCGCTTTGGAGAATAGCTTGACTCCCTCTTTTTTGGGGCAGCCCCTGAGATATTGGAATACTGCTATCATGTCTCCCCTCGTCTTCTCTTCATTAAACTAGACATACCCAATTCCAGCAACCGTTCCTTATATGCTTTAGCCTCCAGTCCCCTCATCATCTTTGTTGCTCTTCTCTGTACTCTTTCTAGAGTCTCAACATCTTTTTTACATCGTGGTGACCAAAACTGGATGCAGTATTCGAAGTGTGGCCTTACCAAGGCATTGTAAAGTGGTATTAATACGTCACGTAATACTTCATGCTGGCCACATGACCACAGAAAAGTTTTCGGACAACGCTGGCTCCCTCAGCTAAGCAATAGCAATAGCACTTAGACTTATATACTGCTTCACAGTGCTTTACAGCCCTCTCTAAGCAGTTTTTACAGAGTCAGTCTATTGCCCCCAGCTATCTGGGTCCTCATTTTCTCGACCTTAGAAGGATGGAAGGCTGAGTCAACCTTGAGCTGGTTAGGATCGAACTGCTGAACTGCTGGCAGACAGCAGACAGCAGAAGTGCAGTACTGCATTCTAAGTGCTGCACTATCAGGGCTCTAAGAAGCAGAGATCAGCACTGCCCAGCTACAGTCGCACATAATAGATCAGGGGAAACCTTTACCTATGTTTTTTCACCTTACAGACTGGGTAGCTAACTTCATTATTCCTTCCTTCTCCATTTCAGGTGCCGTTGTGATTGCCTTTGTGGTGTGCTGGCTTCCCTATCATGTGCGGCGGCTTATGTATTGCTATATCTCAGAAAAACAGTGGTCAGAGTAAGTGATTTGATTCCTATCATTATTTTACAGAGATCAGCAGGCCAATGGTCTAGACTTTTCTCCCAAAACATCTTGAATGTCGTCTGTGGATTCCTCTTTTGCTAGTGAGTCATAAATGCCATGGCCAATCCCAACTCATGAGTATTTGGGGGGGGGGACTCAGTTATACAATAGCTGGGCAATGGGCTTTTTTAAGTTCTGGTGCAATTTGAAGATTTATCTGAGAGGTCCTTGGTGCTCTCTGAGCTGGGTTGTTTTCTTGCAGGTGTTTCATTACCCAATTAGGTGACATCAGAGCTGGGAGGGAGGGAGGGAGGGAGGGAGGGAGGGAGGGAGGAGGAGGAGGAGAAGGAGGAGGAGGAAGATTGTGGGGTCCTTGGTGCTCTCTGAGCTGGGTTGTTTTCTTGCAGATGTTTCATTACCCAACTAGGTAACATCATCCATGCTAGAAGGGAGTGGGACTTGCAGAGAGGAGGAGGAGGAGGAGGAGAAGGAGGATTGTGGGGTCCTTGGTGCTCTCTAAGCTTGTTTGTTTTCTTTCAGACATTTCATTACCCAACTAGGCAACCTGATCAGTGCTAGAGTGTTCTTGGTGGTTCTTGGAATTGGGCTGTGTTTACAGTAAGGGCAAGCCACTTGTATAATTCTTGAATTCTACTCCACTGAGAACATCTTCCTCTTTTTGTTTCCTCCCAGCTTCCTTTATGACTTCTACCACTATTTCTACATGCTGACAAACATCCTCTTCTATGTTAGTTCAGCAATTAACCCGGTCCTCTACAACTTGGTCTCCACCAACTTCCGCCAGATCTTCTTTTCAACCTTCATTTCCATATGCCTGCCGTCAAGAAAGAAGAAGAAGAGAACCAAGTTCAACAGAAAATCCAACAGCATCTCTAGTAACCATACTTTTTCTAGCCAGGTCACCAGAGAAACTATCTATTGAGCTTTCGGTACTGCCAAGAAGGAAAGGAAGGAAAAGAAGGAAGGAAAAAGACAGGGCTCTGTCCTGCTTTCAGACATGGCCTCCAACTTCATCACCGCATGAACATGTCTAGCTGATTGCTGTCCATTGGAATGAATAGGTGTCTATGGTCAACGTTGAGGTGATGTTCCTGCCTTGGCCTCTGGCTTTTGTGAGTTATATCTCCATGTTTTGTCATGTCGATCCAGCATAGAAGTTGCCTGTTGATGTTCTCCAGGAAGCTTTTTCATCCATGGAGTCAATGTTGGCCAAGCTTGAATGCCTCTTTTACCGTACTCACTTGGTTTCTTGGTTTCGAAGTGCCATCAGCAAGGAGATTAAGATCACTTATCCTGGTTATCTTGAAATTATAGGGAGGAGGCAAAGAATTAGCAGGATTTTATTTTTCTAGGAAAGAAGAGGGTTGTGGTTTTATATAGAAGGAGTCCTCGGCTTACAACCACAGTTGAGCACAACATTTCTTAAGCGAGACCTTTGTCAAGTGAGTTTTGCCCCATTTTACGACCTTTCTTGCCGCAGATATTAAGTGAATCACAGCAGTTGTTAAATCAGTGACTCGGCCGTTAAGTGAATTCTGGCTTCCCCGTTGACTTCGCTGGTCAAAAGGTTGCAAAAGGATTACATCGCCCCGGAACGCTGCAACCGTCATAAATATGAGTCAGTTGCCAAGTGTCTGATCACATGACCGTGGGGAGGCCACAACGGTTATCAGTGTGAAAATAACGGTCCTCAGTCACTTTTTTTCAGTGCCGTTGTAACTTTGAACGATCACTGAAAGAACTGTTGCAAGTCGAAAGACTAACCTGTATTTGTCTCATTTTTCTGCACCAGGGCTTCACTTCTTGATCCCACTCTCAGACAGAGATGTAATACATACGATGCCTAAAATAGGAATTGCTTAGAGGAAGGGAGCTGGGAATGTTCACTAGACTGGAGAGATGAAGTATAGAATGAATGAGTTAATTGCTTAATTAACAAATAAGCATCCAGATGTCTGCTATAAAGAGAGGGTATTTCCCCCACATACACAGTTTTAACACTAACTTAAGGAGAAAAAATCTAGTTACTGTTAATTAGTGATAATTGCTTCTGCTACAACTGATCTCACAGCAAGCACAGGGGCAGGGGGAAAATATTCTGGATCCTCCATAGTGTGGAGGGTTATATTTAAGACCTAAACAAGCAAAAAAACATGGGAAACAAGTTATTATTACAAGTAGACCTCGACTTAGGATTGCAATTCAGCCTGAAATTTCTGTTGCGAAGCGAGACCTTTCTTAAGTGAGTTTTGCCTCATTTTACAACCTTTCTTGTCACTGCAGTTGTTAAGTTAATAACACAATTGTTAAATGAATCTGGCTTCCCTTTGACTTGGGTTATCAGAAAGTCACAAAAGGGGATCAAACCCGGGACATTGCAACCATCATAAATATATGAGTCAGTTGCCAAGCATCTGAATTTTGAGCACGTGACCATGGGGACGCTGCAAAAATGGTCATAAGTCCCCCCTTTTTAGTGCTGTTGTAACTTTGAACAGACACTAAGTGAACTGTTGTAAGTTGAGGACTACTTATAATTGTATAATTATTTCAAAGTAGGATATACATACTGCAATGAATTGTGAGGCATGCTCACATGGCCGTTTGTAATGATGGAGCGCATGGATCAGTAAGGCCACCTGTGTTTCGAGCTGCTGGATGCTACATGATCCGATGCTATTTGCTCAAAGTTCTGGAGATGTTCTACAACTTCCCGCTCACCTGCTGCTCCTTCTCATCAGGCCTCCCTGATGATTATTAAACCTACCAAAGCTTTAATAATTACCATTGCTCAAGCATTATAGCCCCATGGACATACTCACCTATTCCACTATAGAACTGATATAAGGGTTGGGGAAGACAGAAACACCTCATAAGCGATACTTGCATTCACAACTGGGGTCCTCTGTCAAGACACAATGACTTCGTTCATCCTTTGCCAACCCCCTTAGTAGTACAGATAGTCCTTGACTTACGACCACATTTGAGCCCAAAATTTCTGTTACTAAGCGAGACAGCAGTGGAGTGAATTTTGCCCCATTTTACAATCTTTCTTGCCACAATCTTAACAATCTAGTTAAGCGAATCACTGCAGTTATTAAGTTTAGTAACACGGTTGTTAAGTGAATATGACTTCCCCAATGACTTGGCTTGTCAGGAAGTTGCAAAAGGGGGTCACCTGACCCTGGGACACTGCAACCGTCATAAACATGAACCAGTTGTCAACAATCCAAATTTTGATCATGTGACCGTGGGGATGCTGCAATGGTCGTAAGTGTAAAAAATGGCCATGTCACTTTTTTCAGTGCCATTGTAACTTCAAATATCACTAAATGAATGGTTGTAAATCAAGAACTACCCATATTCCATAATGTGTCATTTCAGCTATTTTATTTTTCAGTATTCATGCTGCTGCTTCTTGCTGGGAAATCCTTATGAGGTCCAGCAGCCAGAGTGTGCAGACTATTTAGTTGTAACTAACTCACGTTGCCTGAGATGGCCAGTCTCCATTGCACCCCAGTCTCCATTGCACCCCAGTCTCCATCGTACCCCAGTCTCCATTGAACCCAGTCTACATTGCACACCAGTCTACATTGCACACCAGTCTACATTGCACACCAGTCTACATTGTGCCCCAGTCTACATTGCACCCAGTCTACATCGCACCTAGCCTACATTGCACCCAATCTACATTGCATCCCCAATCTCCACTGCACCCAGTCTACATTGCACCCCGTCTCCATTTCACCCCAGTCTACATTGCACAGTCTACATTGCACACCAGTCTACATTGCGCCCCAGTCTACATTGCACTCAGACTACATTGCACCCAATCTACATTACACCCAGTCTACATTGCACCGACCCCAGTCTACATTGCACCCAGCCTACATTGCACCCAGTCTACATTGCACCCCAGTCTACATTGCACCCCAGTCTACATGGCATTCATCTTCAGAACTGAAGAAGTTTCTTGGATGAGAAGCAAAACATTATCAAAGGAAAAGAAAGTCCAGTTGCCTTTTGAAAAAAGCACCTTTGGGACAACCATGACCTGGATGATTGAGAATCTCCACAGACATGTAACAATCTGGTATGAACCTTGCCTGGGTCTTCTGGGGAAAAAAAAAAGATGGCAATTACAAGTAGTAAAGTAATCTTTGTTTCCCAAAAAGCATCTGTATGCTGGCAAATTCCTGTACTCGCTCAATGTAACAGCTTGGCTCTCATTCTATTTTTGTGGCAGAAATACAAAAACGCGTAATTTAAAGAAACAATGGAGACCTCATATTGTCAGTCGTCTGAAGTGTCCATCATTGAATAAAATGAAATAATCATGAGTGCTGCCATCTCCCTGTTAATAGTTTGTGTTTTAAAGAAAACAAAGCAAGGGACAGGGTGTTTTCTCTTCCCAGTTTATCAAAAAGAAGTGGTCTTACAAATATAACCATCCCATGTTTAAATAATGGTTATTTTCTGCTATTAACCTTTGTACTATACGGTACCATTTGCTCTTTCATTGAACTTCAACAATAAAACAGCCCTGCATTTCTTATTTATGATTGTGGCAGTTGCTTTTTATGGGATCGTGGCTTAACTTCATCTTTTAAAAAATAGCTGTCATGATTCCGACAGATGAAACCCTTCAAAATAACTTTGAGGTATTGTTTACCTTAAAGAATCTTTTATTTGAGTAGCATAATATCGGCACTGCATAATCGAAGCCAAAAACTGAATTCCCCTCCCCTGAGCACATAGTATCAAAGCACAATTCCTTCCTCCAATTAACAGTCATAAATCACATTCCCCAATTAGCTTGAAGTGCTGGCTTCCTCTCCAGTTCTCCAGCCCACCAATTCTTTATCAGTTCTGAGCTCAATAACCTTGATTCTCACACTAAGTTTAGTGTTGTTGTGTCCAGCTGGACTCTCATTCACATCCCCCCCCCCCAGCATCATCTAACTCTAAAAGCAAAAGGTAAAAGATGGCTATATTTCCATCTATTGCCAATGCAAAAACATTCAATGTTAGCAGCATTGACAATAGCAGTGTCTGCTTGCTAAAAGCTGAAATTACACTGAAGGCTTCGGTAAGATTATTTTTGTTGCCACTCATCCAGCAATGTGATATGAGTAACTCTAGTGTTGCCACATTCAGCATTTAATTTGTTTTCTGTTATTTAATAATAATAGTAATAGTAATAGTAATAAAAAAGTTGGAAGGGACCTTGAAGGTCATCTAGTTCAACCCCCTGCTCAGGCAGGAAACCCTATACCATTTCTGACAAATGGCTGTCCAGTTTCTTCTTAAAATGATGATATTTTTCTATACAGTAGTCTTCTATTCAATTTTGTCCAATTTTTGGAGACAGTCTGGACCAGCCCCTGCAGTTTGCTTGGCAAGTTGGGTTTCAGAATTGGTTTGCCATTGCCTCCTTCCTGGGGCTGAGAGAGAAGGACTGGCCCAAGGTCATCCAGATGGCTTTCTGCCTAAAGTGGGACTAGAACTCAAGGAGGTGAACATGTTCAATACATCTTCCTCCTCCTATTTTTGCCGCAACAACAACCGTGAGGTGAGTTGGACCCTGAGAGAGTAACTGGCCCAAAGTCACCCCACCAGCTTTGTGCCTAAGGCAGGACTCAGCATCTCCTGGTGATTGGTCCAAAGTTAACCAACCAGCTTTTATACCTAAGGTGGGACCAGAACTCACCATCTCCTGATGATTAACCCAAAGTCAACCAACCAGTTTTTATGACTAAGGCAGGACTAAACTCACCTCTCTTGATGATTGGCCCAAAGTCATCCAGACAACTTTTATATCTAAGACTAGAACTTACAGTGTCTTGATTTATAACCTGGTGCCTTAACCGGTCAGAAGACATTTGAAGACTTTTAAGAAGAGACTGAACAGCCACTTGTCTGAAATGGTGTAGGGTCTCCTGCTTGAGCAGGGGGTTGGACTAGTAGACATCCAAGGTCCCTTCCAACTCTGTTATTCTATGTTCTGTGCTCTATGTTCTACATGATGAAAATAGCAATAGCAATAACACTTAGACTTATATACCACTTTACAGTTCTTTTACAGCCCTCTCTAAGCAGTTTGCAGAGTCAGCCTATTGCCCCCAACAATCTGGCTCCTCATTTTACTGACCTCAGAAGGATGGAAGGCTGAGTCAACTTTGAGCCGGTGAGAATCGAACTGCTGAATGGCTGGCAGTCAGCAGAAATAGCCTGCAGTACTGCATTCTAACCACTGCGCCACCATGGATCAAACCACTTAATGGCACCATATGTAAACAACAGTAAACAACAGTCTAGTCAAGGAACCACCTAGAAAACTGTCAGGACAAGCCATTTGTATATAACATGAGAGCAATCCCCACTCCCTTCTAGCACTGATGATGTTACCTAATTGGGTAATGAAACGTCCGCAATCAAAGAACGAAGCTCAGAGAACACCAATGACTCCACCCCCCATTTCAGCCAGGAACCTTGTGCTACTCCATTTCTGTTCACAACAAGGCTCATTAGAGCAATAAACATTTGCAGAAAGCATATCCAAACCCTTCAATATAAATATGCAAAAGTCTCCAGGGGAGAGATTGATAAGGACACCAGGATAGGTTTGCAATAGATGGGAACTAATCAAGGGGAAATCCAACCTAGAACAAAGAGAAATTTCTTGACAGTGAGAACAAAGAATCAGTGGAACAACCTGCCTCCAGAAATTGTGGGTGCTCCGTCACTGGAGGTGTTCAAGAAGAGATTGGACAGTCACTTGTCTGAAATGGTATAGGGTTTCCTGCTTGAGCAGGGGGTTGGACTAGAAGACCTTCATGATCCCTTCCAATTCTGTTATTCTATTATTCTGCACACTCAACACTGAATCATAGAAATGTATAATTTAAGATTTGGAAGGGACCACATGAAAATCATCTCGTGCAATTCCTATCCTACATAGGAATCTCCTACCTGGGATCCTTCATAGTTTTCTATCCTGTTTAAACACCTCCAAGTGAAGAACAGTCCATCATGTTGCAAAGAAAGTTGAACTCCATTAGAATTTTTATTTACAGTATTTGATGCCTGCCTAAAATCTACATCTTTCTAGTCTAAATCCAGTGTTTCTTGTCCTGGTGTAAGAACCCACCCCACTTTGCATCTTAGGAAGACAGAACTCTTGGAATAATTCTTCCAACAGGAATCCTTTATTAAGAGAAAATGGTTGCAGGCATTCTAGACAGGACTTGGGGTCCAAGCTCTCCCATTCAAGGTTTTAAGGTGTTCCCCAGTAGTCTCACCCAATCACCCCCCT